GAGGGCCTGGCGGTGTGGGCCACAGGCCCCGGGCGCTGCTCGACGCGCTGCCCCGCGACGGGCCGCCTCTCACCCCAGGCACCTGCAAGGAGGGCAGCGCGCAGGCCCACCCTGCTGCAGCCCCTAGTTCCGCCGAGAGGACGCGGCAAGAAGCCATTTCTGGGCTCGTCCAGCAAGAGACGGGCATGCAGAGGTTAATTTTCTTGGCTCTGATTCTCACTGAAGTATCACAGTGAGAGACCACAGAAGAACAGGCTTTTTACCAGCTGATGAAAAGACCTGCCTTCTCTGCCCACTTGAAGTTGCTGATGAAGTTTGTAGGCAGCCCTAGTCTAATAGTCATTGCCTAGAAAATCAGCTGTAAGTACACGGGCTCCGCTTGCCTGAGGACCTAGGCATAGAGGATTTCTCATGGAGCACCTGTGTGACAACAGCAATGTCCTGGAAGGTACAACAGACGGACAGGCTAGAGATAGTTAAGAGATCATAGATAAGCTACCGCACTACAGTTTACTTCCAATGATAGCATGGCAGTTCCAACTCCTGATTCGCAGAGCTGGCATTGTGTAACAGCAGAGCAGCACAGCCAATTACGTACCCTATAAACAGCTCTGTCTGTAATACTACCCAATTCAGACATTGCTTTCTGAGAACTCATAAATTTATGAGAGCTCCTGTGGCATATTTCCACAGAATAGGAAAGTGCTGAGACAAGTTTACAACAATTACTTGTTCCTTATTTCAATTCTTTTACTTTACTCTGTTAATGATCATCTGCAAGGATTCTTCTCATCCATATTTGTTCCTCTGCACATCCAGTCATCTAACTCACGTGCTTTTTGGCCATTTGGCATCACAACAGCCTGACAGGAAGCTGTAGTTTTCTGGATTACAGGGTTTATGGTCCATTTTTGGTGTAGAGAGTGGGTCAAGAAACATGACAAAACACAGCTTTTGACATATTTAAATATTTATTTTGTATAATCGCTTTATGTATGACACAGTAGTTTGATTAAAAAGCTGCATCCCGATATATCCACACAGCCTACTGTATTGTCAACACAAGAAACCTTAAAAGCATGAACACATTGAACAGTTCTGTATTGCCATGCAGGAGAATGCAGTCCTTTTTCAGTTTAATAAACACCTTACCAGCTTAGAGTATGCTGCCTCTTTGGCACATCTACTTTAGGGTGACCAGTGACTACAGTGTGAAACTTCTACTGCTCAGTTTTGCTGCCATCCATATGAAGTGTTGTCATTTTTGAACTGCAGTTTGCCACATAATCACTACCCAGTCCATGCTGTCTGTGATATCTTACAAGAGGCTGCTACCAGTGGAAGAGGAAGAAGAGCTCCAACAGAAGAGTTCAGAATCAGTGTTTGAAGACAAAATCTCATCAAGAGCTCGTGAAGTTTCATAGCTTTCTGCTACAGGATGTTGAAAACAAAAACCTAACAAGTGTTTAAAAAAAAAAAGTATTTATACAGATGCCAGGAATCTCCAGAGCTATTAATGACAAATCATTAAACCATAGGATGCCTCAATTCTAGTGAGCAGAAGACCTAATAAAGAGGTAGAACACAACCTGCTATTCCACAAGTCCTCTTGTTTTCTGTAACAGGCTGTCAGTGTTACAGGTGTACCTGTTATGGAACAGCCACTGTGCTAGCTGGACTTTGATCTGATTCCCTGCAGCATTCTTATTCCCATACCTCATAGTCACCTTAGTAGACATGAAAGAGCGGAGAAATTTAAGAATGAGCTGCAGGACTGTAGCAAGTACCAGTCAGCTTGTTTGCTCCTCAGTGGAATTAACTAAAATCACGCAGAGAGGACAATGTACCCAGGTAAATGCCAAAAGGTTTGTGTTAAAAATAGACTGCAAGGAACAGTGTATTTCAGGAGGCTGACGCCTCTGCTAAATTTCATACTTGAATACACTGCAGGCATTTGCCTACATTATACCACTTTTCGAATGGCAGGAAGTTAAGCAACTAGCTGAAGTCCACAGTACAGCTCAACACAGCTCTTTAGAAATCTGAAACTTTTGCTAGGTCCACATTCTAGCCGTTAATCATAGTTCCAGGTCATACAATGTCATTCTATTATTCTCCCCTTAATTCAGCCTCAGAATCTAGCACTAAGCCAGCAAGTATTTTCTGAAGAGTTTGTGAGAGTAAACAGTGGTTTTCCAATGTCATTTTTATGCTGTTCTTCATGTCAAGTAGGGATTGCACATGGCCAAAGTTTGGGCTAACAGAAAAGTAAATATATGGAGCCCCATTTCTTCCACTTTCAAAACTAGGCTTACTTTATTTAAAAAGCAGCAGCAGGTGATACAGCTACAGCATTGAACTTCTGCCTTTGTGCGAGTGTGCAGTCTCCTTTTAGTGATTGCATGAACTATTTATTGAAATATTAAGTAAGTAGAATAAAAATAAACACTGATCTAGACCTTAAAACCAAAAGATTATCTGAAGAAGCTGGAGTAACCACAGTCATAGAATTAAAGGTCCTCAAATGATACCATCAAAAACTTCCTCAGGGCATTACAGCTATTTAGCATTCCTCCTCCCTCACAGACAGCAAAAGATACAGCACAACTTCAGAAACAGGGTGTGTTTCATCAGCCAGTGAGCATGCTCTAGCTCATAAAACCTGCTGTGGGCAAAGCAGGAGAAATGATTACCATCTAGTCTGGCAAATATTTCTTCATTATCAAATATCAAGGGAATAGTCTTGGACCTGGCAGACCACCATTGTAATCAACAACCACTGCAATTCAGTTGGTAAGAGAGCCAAGTCTGACAATCACCTCCATGGGAGGTACACATGGACTACAGGGGAGAATGTGCACTGTAAGCAACTCTTATCCAGTCCTGAGTAAGCTTACCCTTACACAGGGTTTTCCCATGACAAAGGCTTTCAGCTTTATTTACCCTAGTGATTCCAGGATTTCTGGTGTTTAGGAACAGACCCTGTTCCGGCCCACAGGTGGATTTTAAATATGGTAGGCCACAGAAGCTCTTAAATAATTCTGTTCCCAAGAAAGACGAGTGAAAACTTCCCCTCTTTTGTCACCATGGGGACTACAGTCTGCTATAGCACTCCAGCTTCAAGACAATGGCCTCTAAAAGCCCCTAACAGTAGTAAGAATGCTATCATTCCAAGTACTGCATTTGCCTAGGATGTGTCCAAGCACAGATTCACATAACATCAGACAAAAGTGTAAAGTGACGCGTACACATACGACTGTAGTCATTATACGAAGAGCCGCTGGACAAAAGGACAAGGATTCTTCTTAGAATGTCCCAGGCTGCAGCTGAACAAACCACACCTTCTTGCTTTTGTAAGTGGAGTCTGTCTACCTCCTTTGTAGATACCTCTGGTTGTCTCCCAGAAGAAAAAAGAAAAAAAAAAAGTCCACCACAACTCCTGTCTTACACAAACTAGGTAAGATACAGGTGTCAACGGCTGGTCAAGAATTAAGAGATCTTCTTAGCAGGGCACCAAATAGTATCAGGATAGAGCAGACAATGGACAGATTTAAATCTATGAAGAAAAAAAAATTAGATTGGAATTCTCCATGCAAGGAACTAGTATGCTGCACTGAATGTGCAGCAGTCTAACAGAGCAGAGAGGGTGGGTCTACCTGCCTTTGGCACAGCGACAAGAGCTGACATGAGAAAATAACCCCATTAGTGGGTCTGATCATCTTACAGTTGATAAACATGAACAAGGCAGGGAGATTTTGTTCTGGAAGTGGACACTCACCGGGTGGGATCTTGCTGAAGGCCAAACACTCCCCCCACACTCACAACATTGTGTTTGTTCTCAGGGTCCCCATAACTTAGGGTTACCTAAGTAAAAGCAAATAAATATTCAGAAATTGTAACACTAATGCAGAAAAACAGAGCGGATTATTAATGAGGTATGAAGAAAGACTCCAAGGATCCTGCCTGATCTGAACAATGAATTACATTTGAAAAACACTGGTTAGTTTTGACATAAGCAATATTGGCACTGAAGGGCAGCTATCAAATGGACCACTGCTCATTTAAAGGCAATGTGGGAGAATAACGAAAGGAGCTGAAAGTTGCCTTGCCCTGAAGGACAAGATGTAGTTACAACTACAACTGCTAGTAGTGTCTTAGCACAGGGGGAAAATAGAAACATTTGGATGTTAAATGGTATGCAAAGGACTGCCGTGTGACAAACCTGGCAACAAAATTTAGATCTCTGGAAATCCAATTCAGTGCTATTCTTCCACACAAGCACTGTATTAAGAAATTTTCAGGTGCCAGGTACAAGACGACTTATATTCTCTGTCTAATTGTAAATTTCCTGGATTTAGGGTTAGCTGTCACAGTCTCTGGGAAACAATGATCACCAACGAAAGGCTGTATTCAGCCTACAGTTAAATTCACTAACATGAAGGAGATTACGTCACACTGGAATTTGGCCCCAAGCGTACATTTCTGCTGCCTAATACAATTGCCAGGAAAACACAACCAAGCAGTTTGTAGGGGCAAAACCACACTCTCGTTTTTTCATGGTGCCAAACAGTAAGAGGCAGACAAAGCTTCTGGATAGCCTTATAGCTCCGTCTACTGCCCATGAGTAAAAACGTATCCCAGCAACTAAAAAAAAAACTTGATTTTTCCTAACAAACACTGATTAAGTTTCTTGAAATTCAGGCAAGTTATTCTTAAAAATGATCAAACATTTAACCACGTCTTAGTTACTGAAGAGGTTCTTTCTATAGCTGCGACACTAGTCTTTTTGAACAGCATGAATGAAGACTTAGACTTTGTTAGGCAAAACCAGAAATACTTTCTTACATGGCAGGCAAACTAAACATTGCCTCCTCTACACTTGCTGCTTCTGTGACTCATGGAAAGTCAGAGTTTAGAAGGAGATGGAGACCACCATATTTAGGCTTAATATAGCAGAATATGTTCCCAAAGAAGAGGACAGCTATATGACCTAGTTGGCTAGGGTGAAAATATGCTTTTTACCTAAATGAAGGAACTGGACAGGACAGCAAGTCTGTAGACATCCTTCGTTGCTGAAAAGTGCTAAGTCTATGGAGAGTATTCTTTCTCATCAGATTGAGGTGTAATTATAAGAACAGGACATGAGACTCAGCCCTACCTGCTGCAGCACAGACTCGCCTTGTAGTCTCTGCAGATTTTCCAGATGGGAATGGAACAACGGGCTGTGCAGCAGCTTTACCTCCAGCAGCCCTTCAATGATGTAGCCAATAGTGCAGTCATCAGGAAGACGCACTCTTTCTGCAGTACTGATGAAATTACCTAGGCTGTGAGACATAGCATAGGAGATAAGACGAAATATGCTTTAAAGCCTACCAAACGCATATTGATGGAGCTCAGCTAGGAAGTGTTTACCTGGCCCAGGGACTCATCTTCAGAGCAAGACCTCTGCTGATACAGAACCCTGCTCCACCTGTGGCAAACCAGAATTTCACGGTTGTCTTCTGAAGAGCAACAAGAAAAACACAAAGTAGTTACTGATAATCGGCTTCTTCCATTTGGCTGGGCAGGGAAGGGAACTTCAAGTTCTATTGGATATGATATACTGCACTTGAGTGAGAACAAGACTACAGATTAATTCCTATTTTTTTAGGCTGCTGAAAGCCTAGCTAGCTGTTCTCTCAAAGGAAACTATCCTGGAACTGAAAGCAGGTGAACCATCAAGTTAGCACAACTGAGGTAGCACACATAAAATGGGAAACTATAGTCCTGCTCCTACCCAATTCCATCTGTCCCCTGGTCATTCTAGCCAAGGATCACAGCCGGCTCAGTGTTCCTGAGGAAATCAAAGGTGGTCCATTAGTGACTTGGCTCCATGTCCAAGGAGACTATTTTGTTGTGCAGAGTTTTCCCTAACAAGCTGCTTTGTAACTGACTTTCTGGCCAGTGGATTGATTTATCTTTAGGCCTGTTAGTATAGGCGACCTGGTGAGGACTTGTCCTTTAGCACATGTATCTTGAGACTGAGATATGTTTGCTTCCACTTCTTGGAAACCTAATAACCTCTCAGTATTGGAAATGCCCTGTATGCCCAGAGAGCCTTTGTCACCCATCCGAGATTGGTTAAAGATCATGACAATGTGATACTGCTCTCAAAACAAACAAACAAAAAAATCCAAACCCCAACCCAAACTGCAAAGCCCTAAAATAAGGAACACTCCCCCCCACCCAAATCACTAAAGGAAAAGGGGTCAAGGTGGGGAAGCCCTAATCACCTCAGTGTGAGGGAGATCACCAACATACACGAGTAAAGGAAGAGAAACAGACACCCACCCAGGAGACAAACCCTATTTTACATATGCATATGAGGTCAGATCAAAGGTTCATTTAACCCAGCACCCTGTCTCTGAAAATGACCAGTGCCAGGTTCATTGCTTGCAGATTAAATCACTTGTTTTTATGGGGGAATCCTATGAACTCTCAAGGTTTTAAAAGCTTAGAAGGTCAGGATGTCTCTCAGACTAACTGCAAATTTTGCTTACTGATCCATCACTTTGGACATGGTCAGCTGCTTCGATGGGATGGTCCAGACTCGGTCGCCCCACATAGACATCCTGGCTGTGTGAGAAGGCAGATAAGAGATGCAGGAGAGTCCGAGGGTTCACATAGTTGTCATCGTCCACATGGCAAAACCATCTTCAAACAGAACAAAATAAGAAAGTTACTGCAGAGTAGTGACAAAGAAAAGAGCTATAGGTTTACAGCTGGGTCTTAGCCTTTCAGGCTTGGAGCAGAAAGCATTTCCCATTGTCCTGAATTACAGAATTTGGAAGCTGAAAGCCCCCACAGATCCTAATTCTGGAAAGAGGCTGAAATTAATAATCCCCTTTAGATTATCATCCTTTCCACCTTTTAGATGATGCTTGTTTATAAACACTACTTCATGCTGTGCTCCCTTCCTTATGCTCATCACCATGTTTTCGCTTATACTGCATTCCTTACCAGAGCAGAGAAAGTTACTCAAGTTTCCTGTGAACACAGAACTGGAAGAAACAAAGTCAATCAGAAAAACGTGTTTCACCTACTTTTGCCCAGATTCCAGGAATTTATCATATTCCACAGACATCTTGCAGCAGAGAGCTTGCCGGGTATGGACAGCAGAACAGTTGGTGTTGATCATATGATCCCCTAGAAAAATAAAGATCAGCCTCTTCAGGTTGGAGAAGCATGTGTAGTCCAAAAAAAGACTACAAAAGAAGTGCACATTTGGCACTAATGCTGTACATCTGAAGTGCATATGGTGCACACATGGAGAGTAAACTGCAGGACAGGCAGGGCTCATGGGTTATGCATATGGCATGCAAGCTGTAGAGTACACAAAAATGTGTGAGTGCAGGGTATATAAATAGTGCATGAGACTGTATGCAAAGGAAATACCTAATATAACTTTGGACCAGATAGACTTAAGCTTACTAACAGGAAGGAAGTGGGTGCAAAGGTGAACCCAGTATTCAGGAAGTTCCAGGCATCTTGTCCAGGTGGTAAGTAGGAACAGCATATTCTCCTGTGAAAGGAGAAGTTTTCTCCATTTTCTCCATCTTAACTTCCCTAATTGCTTGTACAGCATGAAATAAGGTCTTCTAGGGAAAGTACGAGAGAAACAAAGCTCAGTTATAGCAGACAGCATGCCCCTATGCTACACAGCTTACCTGCTTTCAGGCGTAGCTCCTGATCCTCCCAGTCTGTGAATATAAATGTCTGCGGGAGACAAAAATGGGTTGGGAGAAAGGTGTGTCCACATTTGAGAATTTCAGAAACTAATTTCAACTTTGCTCAGTTGCAGTCAGAATTCTGAATGTTTTGTCTTGTTAGTTTATTTCACAGTAGCCATTGGGAGTGGGGTGGGGAGTGGCGGTGGAGAGAACCCCAGCAACTTCAGCCCTTGCCTTATTTGATAAGTTTTTGCATTGCAAACCAGAAGAGTCTCATATCAGTAAAGCATCCAAGATTTTACTCTCCTTGTCTCACGGTACAGACAACCAATTTCCAGATAGGAATGACTGTCTTTTTTGGTAGTACCTCCCTCTGCAACTTCACCTCCTCTCTCTGGCTAGGAGTCACCCACAGCTGTTAAGCAAGGTAAAAGGAAAGAATGAAAGTCAGGGTGGAAAGTGCCAGGTGGTAACGCTGTCTTGTCCCAACTGCTGGACAAAATTGCATTAATGTGCTTGAACATATCGAAATTCCCAAACAAGGGAACAAATTCTATGTTGTTCTATGGAAAAGCCTAAGTCGCTGAGCTCCAATACTCCAAAATACTGGCTTAGATGCATCAGCACTAAGGATCTTTCACTATCACATAGTATTTTCCACAGTCATACAAAAGTCAGCAAACCTTCTGCTTTGACCACCGATCCCAGATTGCAAGTGACTAGCTTAATCAACAGCGAACTCTTTTGGAGGTAGGTTCAGACGAACTATTTAGGTAAGACGACCTTCCTCAGTCTTACAAAGAAGGACGTCTTTAACAAGGGAAAACTTGGAGAGAAAGCGCAGCGGCTGCCCGGGAAAAGAGAGGGACGAGGCTCCCGGCCGCCTGTCCCAGCCCGCTAGCGAAGCCTCACCTGTCCCCTCGCCTGGGAGATCCAGGTTTGCAGGAGCAAGTCCAGCCGGCTCCTGTGGTACTTCCTGGTGGTCTTCACCGCAATGAAGATGTCCTTCAGCTCCAGGCTCTCCCTGCCCGAGCCCCCGGCCGACCCGAGGCGGCCCTTCCGCGCGGGCTGC